AAACTATTGCCGGAATCTAGCGGAAAAAAGCTTTAGTGCCAAAAAGACGCCAAATGGCTCCTAAAAAGCGCTAATTGAAGCTAAGAATAAAGATTGATGTCATATTCATGATCAGGGCACTCGATATTCTCCAAACTAGCAGTTCTAGAGAAAATTGAGATTTTGACCTTGGTTCGAAAATTTGGCCATTGATAGGTCAGCCCATAAGTACTTGCAGCTGGTGAAGTGGAAACGAATTTCTTGTTCTCCTTCTCAAATAATGAGAAGTTCCAATACTAAATGGACAATGGCAGACACCCAAGCTGGTAATGGACAACAAGACACCATGATTTTGAAGTCGACAGATTCCTCCCTCCATCAGGACGTGGTATATTGGACCCACGGGTCTTCCACTCGCACGGCTGCATCTCGATAGCTGGATCGATTCCAAGGACTGGGACGTGATGGAAGATGTTTGTATAAAACAAATTTTGGTTCTCGTTAACCAACAAGGCATTTCGCTTGATTTCCGCGCCGCGCACGTCTTCAAGTTGCCCGCTGGCGTGCATGACGACCTGTAGCCCATGGTCACCCCTTTTTGCGAAGTTAGGTCAAAACCTCGATTTTTCCCGAAATCCAGCATATGGGGGTAAATCAGAGTCCTGATCACGAATATGTCTTTCGTTTTTGGCGTAGGCGCCATTTGGCGCCAGTTTGGCGCTGCAAACTTATCCCGCCAGTTTTTATAGAAAATCCATTTGTAAGAGCTGCTGGTTGTCCTGACTGTGAATATAGCGTTAGTTTTGACTCTAAAGCAATTTTGCGTCAGTTTGGGAACGTTTATCAAAAATGCAAAAGTCTGCCGTAGGGCGGACTCGAACCACAAACACGTGCAAACTCGAGGCCGACACACTATCCACTTGACCACCGCTTCGCTGCTACGCACATGATGCCGACTACGCCTATGAAGCCCTCGTACATTCTTCAGCACTACCACTGACAGGACTTCAATTTTGAGCGAATTTCACGCTGTTTTCGATACCGTCTTCATCAGTACCCTTCAATTTGCGGGTGATCTTTTCCACAAGTTCAAAGCACCACTCCAAGGCACTGAAAACCACCACATTCTTACCAATTTTTTTCGACCTTTTTTGACCTTCAGGGGGCCGCTCAGCGAAAATGGAACACAGTAATGTGGTCTACGTGAGAGCCCCTACAGCATGCAAAAAACCGTTTTGAAAAAGCGTCCCACACCCTGAACGACCTCCCTTGTTAGTGAGGAACAAAAAATTTCCATACTGCAATACCTAATTAATTATATTAAAGTATCCCAAGAAGTGCCTGGATTGGAAGATTTTGCAAATACAGAAAGACCGCTCAGAACCCAGCAGGAGCTTTAGCTTTTTTAAAAAATTCAAAGTCACACCACAGCTTTTCCACCCTATCCCGCCCCCCAAAAAACTTCAGCTTTTCTGAGAAAAAATACCGTCCACTAGGGGAAGCATTGACTGGTGAGGCCAGCTCTCCAGTCGAAATGGAGACTTACTGTGATGGTGTACTTGCACTGCGCTAATGTATTCCACAGCTTGATGGAGCGATCACGGGAACCAGAGACAATTTGACGGTTGTCAGCAGAAAACGCCACAGAGAGTACGTCTTTTGTGTGGGAAGAGAACTGACGAGTGGATTGCCCACTGAAATTGTCCAATCAGAGACCATAAAACTATGGTAATTTTGGCATATAACCATAAAAATCAGTCGAAGTTTGTAGTATGACCATAAAATGTAATTAAAGTGAAGTTGACCACAACAAATATTGATGGTACCATTAAAAATGCCTACAACCATGAGGAAGCAGAACGATAAATTCTGTCAATTCATTGCAATGTCATTGTTGCGTAGAGGATATTAAACCAGATTGCTTGAGAGACAACTGAAACGTTAAAACGTACAACGGTGACTGCTCCAGTCAAGTTACGACAAAATAAGTGAAAGAATGCGTGAAGAAAAAGGATTTCTGAAAGTACCGCGAAGTGCGTCACTGGTAAGCGACTTCTCCATACTGTTCAATGAATTATCGAAATTCAGGTGTGTAGCATAAATATACTGACGAAATTATAGTGGTCCAGTTTGACGAGAATGGATATCAACTATACCACTTTTAGCATATCTTAACCAACAACAGTGAGCTAAGTTTAAGAAAGTCGTTAACGACGAAGTTTTGAGCGATTTGATTTGAGCAGCCATAGGAATCCCAAAGAAGCTCAAAAACCGAATGATCTCATTTGTTTTAACCAACGACGTCGCACGTCTTGCCTCTTGGGCCGCGTGGGATCGGATGAGACTTTGCAGGCGCCGCAGCCTTACCTAATAACTGTGGATTTTGAGCCGTAAATATGCAAAATCTGTATGCGTCAGAATGTTTCCATTATTGTTCAATGTATTCAACTTATCGGGAGTTACAGTAATGGAAGTTCGACCAAAATACTGTTATGGCTACAAGAAGGCAAATTTTACTTACTTTCGCTTTAGTGGTTCCAAAATTATTTTGAACGTGGTTGTTTCAGTGAAAACATATATCTTGCCATGCGACTAGGTTTGCATTCACTTCTATTACTCTTTTTCATCATCGTGTTAATGTTAATGAGAAGTTAGGTCATTTTGTGAGCCACGTGGTTTTTAGTTATGTTGCCGTATGGCCTTAAATGAGCACAAAAAACTTGGAATGAAGTCGAGTATGTGCGAAAAAAATAAATATGAGTGTGGCATAAGTGTTACAATGTCCGACGTGATGCAAAAATGGCGGCATGTATAGTTGCCGCGCTGTTGTCAAGGTGTTAAAGCAACGTTATAACAGGAAATCAAATGCCATTCCTGTGAAGATTTCAAGAGGACTACGAAAAAATCTTCACATCATCCTGCTTTATGAGAGCAGAGTTGACACAAATGACCTTTTGAAGGGAGCGATTTCAATGAGCGACTGCACACAGAAGAAGTATTTGCGCCACTGGAACCAAGAGTTAAGCGGCTAAGGAAGCGAGATGTGTTAACTCCGCGAAAGGTGAGGTATTTTCAGCGTAGTAAAGCTCCAGAGTTGAAAACCATAACGCTCCGATACCGCTCCACCCACTAGTTCAGTTGGTGATTTTTACAAGCTGTGTTGTTAGAGGTGGCATCGTTCGCATTCATTTTGGAAAAGAATTTCACTTCAAGCGGCTATACCTTTTAGATTGCTTTGGTAACGTTATCAACCAGTCAATGACCTCTTCCTTGAAGCCGCTCATCCATGGTCGAAAATGAAGAGGTAAACAATTTGGGGTTGACCGACAAATTTCTCTGGTTTTTTTTACCACTGAACCAAACCCAATGGAACCCCTCCACACACCTTCTACACTCATGGAGAGCCCACTGTCTGCCTTTGAAGCCGGAATAATTGTAACTGCGGCAACAGGAACCACTTATGGACGCTGATCACACCAATCGTTCTTATTAATCATTTCATCTATTTATTCCAAAACAGTGTCGGCAGCCAAGAAAACAAAAGGAGGTGCAGGCTCTTACCTTCTACGCATTTTTCATCCAAAAAGCGGCTATAAACATGGAGAGCGGCTCGCTGTATTCATGGTGAGGAGGATCGTTTTTAAGGCTTTCGATGATTCAGAACGCGTTTAGTGGTGATCGTAGAGTGTGAGGGGTCGTGTTGTAGTGCGAGTGAAGAAGGGGTACGACGATTTTTCTTTTGAGTTTTTTGCGAAATTTCTACAAAAAAGAATGTGATTGGCAAGTAGAGCATTCACCGTTGCTTTTAATACATTTACTTGCAAAACCCTATGCCGCAACCACCTTGAAAGCATGGTATTGACGGCATTGTGGCAAGGAGCTAGCAGCCATGATTCCCATGTCCCCCCCCCCCCACCACCGATCCTCATCCTCTGCTACCCACCTGGCTTTCCCCCTCCACAAGTTAGATGCGTGGCTCCTTGTGAACTGACATTCCGAGACTCGGGAGCGGACAGCCGCAAAGATATGATAGGCATTACGACGAAACCGTGAAGTGGGGAAGGGAAGGATAGGTTAGAGGGTGGTGTATACGCCCCTACCCTGCTCGGAGGTACAGAATACGGCCCACGGCGTGGTCGGCTGATCAAATTCTTCAAATAGGTGAAAAGAAACGCCATTAATACCCTGTAAGTATCCTTTGTGGAGTCACTTATTAACTTGGGCCGTTTCAGTCGAAATTGTTTATATTCCAACATTGCTGAGTAAAAGGTACACATGCCGGAAATGATTTCGTCTTTAAACTACACGCTTCAATTAAGGCCCAAGCCTTAGTAATTAACAAATCTAGAATCGATGGGGACCCTAATTTTCCGCAACATAATGGAAAGCAGTTCCCAGGCTCGCGCCATGACTAAATGCACGGAATGTGCAGAATCCGTGGAACGTGAAACGCGCTACCAGTCTAGATACGTGTCGATTAGATTGGTCGCGCGTGGCCACCGCATATAGAAATGGGAAATGCACGGGATGACAGGAAGAGGGGATCAGAACTGATTCCATCCTGGAAGCGTACCCACTGATCGAAGCCATTGAAATAAGCAACTGCGGTCGCCACCATAGGAATTAATAGAGCAATTTACCTAGTATCTAAGTTCAAATTTACTTCTGCCTCTTACGATAATTAATCACCGTAACAAAATTTCTCATAAAATTCATGAAGAAAGCATAATAAAAAAGAGGAAAGGAGAAAGTTAATTACAAGCCAACGTACGTGGTTAAATCCCAAAGGCGAAGAGTCTTATCCCAAGAACCGGAAAGTGCGAACTGTCCATCTGAGGAAATGGCGACATCAGAAACGAAATGGTTGTGACCAGTTAAAGCCTTCACTGGACGGCCAATAGCATCAATATCGCTGACGACATTGTCTACATCCCAAAGGATAATGGTGCGATCTGAAAATGTATGCTGCAGTTATATGGACCAACCAGAGCTCCTAGAAATAACTTCCTTTTCTTTTATAAAACTGCCTCAGTTGCAAAAAAAAATGACGATCAAAATCAACAAGATTCGCTGTTACCCTAGAAGTGCATCACTGCTCTATCCGCTACAGATCTCCTCTAAAGTTTCAAGAGCGCATCGAAATTACAATGGAGGCATAGCGAAACCTTCCAAGCACAGTGGACGTCTAGCTAGACAACTTAAACGGAAAAAAGGAACATCGCTGTAAAGTCTGATGGCGAAGCAGGAGCGTTAAAAATTTGCAGCAGTTTCCTTGGCACTATTGCACTATTACAACCCCAGTAGGGGTGAGATGGGTCAAAAAATAATTTTCGCTGAAACTTTGCTATGGGGGTTATCGAGGGTCCTGATCACGAATATGATATCCATTTTGGCGCTGGCGCCATTTGGCGCCATTTGGCGCCACGACTGATTCCCACTAAATTCGCTGTAAACTTCTGTATAGGGGTTATTTGGGGTCCTGATTACGAATATGACATTCGTTTTTGTTGTTAGCGCTATTCGGCGCCTGCTTCCTGCTCGTCTGCGCCCTCGCACTAATTAGATCGCAATCAGGACTAAGCCTTTGAATAGTGGAGGGCTCCAAAGTGAGTAGGCCACTCCCCTGTGGTCTAACACACTCCAACTTTTGCCACACGGTGCGTGGTTTACCCACTCCGGAGTTTCACTCCCCTCCCCTAAGCTTAGTCTTAGGCGCTATAGGTGAGAAAGCTTAGAAAAGCAGAAAATATGCGTTAAACAGCACGAATGTCAAAAACGAGTGTCATATTCGTGATCAGGGCCCCAAATAACCCCTATACAGAAGTTTACAGCGAATTTGGTGATAATCAGTTGTGGCGCCAGCTGGCGCCAATTTGGCGCCAGCGCCAAAAATGGATGTCATATTCGTGATCAGGACCCTCGATAACCCCCATAGCAGAAGTTTCAGCGAAAATTATTTTTTGACCCATCTCGGCCCCCGCTGGGGTTGTAATAGTGCAATAGTGCCGTTTCTTTTTGCGTTACTAACCAACGTAAATAAAGACCGTCGTAAGCAGTGAAAATAATTACAGCTTTCGAAGGCAAAAGTTAAGTTATTTGCAAGCTTTCATGAACGAAAAGTCTTCAAGTAGTTTCTGTTTGCACTGCTTGAGGCAAGTCCCACTCGACTTAGAAAAAAAAAGAAGATCAAAGCGGATATGGCAGCACTTTCCCCTACCCGGCGAGAATGAGATTTTGTCCAAAACAGAACAATGGAGCATCCAAAAATATTCAAATTACGGCGCCTACCATTAGGATTTTCGACTAGTTGGAAAACGTTAGAGTCCGCCAAAGAACAACTCGGAATCGTGTCAACAGCACTCACCACGAGATGAAGAAACAACAGTGGTTTTGTCGTTGTGGGTGAAGGTAGCGATCTGTGTTACCCACCCATTGTGGCCCTCAAGGGTGCCTTTAAGCTGCATTTGTTCAACCACCATGTTGACCCTGTCCGAGTTAAAATCTTAAATGCATGTATAAATCAAGGATCGAATGAAAAAAAAACATAACCAACAATTATCGGGAAGCAAATTCAATGGATGAAACGCAGATGAGTTAAGAAAACACCGAATCCAACCTCCTCCACAGAGTGGAACGAAGAGCCACATATTTTATTGTCTACTGAGAAAAGGTACTACGGCTTGAAACGTTTTACAAATCGTATTTCTAACAAAAACAATTAAAAGAAATACAAAGCCCAAAATTATTGAAAATAGAAACGGCCGGCAGATTCTGTAGCACATCTTGTCCATCCACACGGGACCACTAGACAAACACAATTATACACCCTTTAACGACGAAAAATAAATCACGCATGCGAATCATGCAGTTGTTTTGATGATTGCCTCATACTGTTTGATCTTTTTGATTGCTTAACTTTTGTTTCTTTTTGCTGACATTTTGGGTTTACTATGGTGAGCGTCGTTTCTGAAGGTGTGGGGTCAACGGAGTTTTGTACGTTTGTTTGTTTGGATGTCCGGCCGCGATGCTTTTGTTTTCTCTTTTTTCGTTTCTCAAAGCATGCATCATGGTTGTGTCGAACACTTGAGGTAAGTTGTCGTTCGCCGAACCGTGGGCTTTTATGGAGGTCTGTCTCGGCGGGGGGGGCAGGGTCCAAGCGAGGCCCAGTTTGAGGAAATGTGGAAATAGACCCGCCCCCTCACCACCCTCCCGGAGGTCGAGCTGAAAGCACCCTCTTAAGCCGAACTATATGAAAAGGTTGGAAAGTTTTTTTAATTCTCCTCCAAAACTGCTCATAAAAAAGCCCTGCTACCCCACGCACAAAAATTCGTTTAAGAAGTACAAAAGTGAAAAAGTCAAAGAATAATCATTACTGATGAGTCCTACCAGACGAGCAAACGAGAAACACGACGAAACGACAATGTCGCTCAATGGCTATGCTAATTTCCTTTTGCTTTATTTCTTATAACTGACCAATTCTAGTATCAGGTCATGGTTCTCATTTGACGTAGCTTCAGTTGAAGAGCTTTTTATACCGCCTTCGCACTGTACTAAAAAAATAACGTTGTGTTGCGGACTTGGCGTTAACGTGGAGCGTTATTTCTATTGATTCTTGCAATTTCAATGATTATACTTTCTTAAATAGAGAATGTTCATCTGAAAGCTTTGGAGTTTTGACGAAGCTTCTTTGGGCATATTGAAATTACGAAAGTTATAAGAAATAACAAATTTAGGTCAATTAACGAGGAAAATTCGAGATGAGCACGAGTTTTTACACTTTCCGAAGCAACAACTTGCTTCATTTTCGTCAAATTCGAAAAGTTAATATGGCAGACAAAACTAGAAGATTTTCTCTACCAAACCATTGCTAAAGCAGCTCTATACGTCCAGTATTCGAAAAATGCCCACGTTGAGGATTTTCGCAAAATTAACGAGGAAAATTTGTGATGAGTGCGAGTTTTTTACTTCCTAAAGCCATACTCCGTTCAAACTCCGCCCAAGTAATACGCAGTTATAACTGAGATTTGCTCTATCAAATGCTGTACTAGACTGTCTCCAAACGTCGTCTTTAAAAACGGGCTAGTTGAGGATTTTTGTTGCAGGTACCGGAAGGTATTGTTCGATCATTGGACTTTATTTAACGGCTGTATATCCTTTTAAGGGCGATTATGTACTAAAGTAAGAGCAGATTTGAAATCACTGCTTTTCTCTTTCTAAGAAAAGTGATTGATTAGCGTTTCTCAACTTTAAAGGTTACATGTTTATAAATTTAACCCTGAAGAGTCCGTTAACGCAGTGTGTATGGTGTACACCTCCCTGTAAATGCGCACGGCGCGGCACTTCGGAATTGCTCTCGATGCTACTGTTGGAGGTTCGTTTGTCCAAGGAGCCGTAGTTGGAGTGCGCGCAACAACTAGACCCTTTCTCGGATGCGCCGTGTACCTAACATCCCTTCAGATTCGGGGTCTTACTTAAAGATGAAATATCTCTTGGAAAGCGTGCGAAATTCAGATTCTTAATTTGTGGGGTGGTTGTTAATCTCTGACGTAGTAAGAATTCCGGGCCAGAATTAAAATTTTGTGTGGGTGAAATATCGTTTTCATTGGAAATCCTCTGGCCTGGCATCGACTCATCCTTGATATTTGTCTTCCGACGGTGATGATCCCACTGCATCAAAATGGCTCGATCTCTTCCACCCAGCGGGCCAATACGACCCCCCCCCTGCGACGTGTCGAGGATTCCTCAACGCACGCTTGACCCTGGTGGAGGGGAGGTGAAGGAACATTTGCTGCTAACATATGGAGATGTCAAAGTTATGATTTTACGAGCACTCAGCGCTTAAAGAGTACTGTCTGTCTAGATGTAACTGCAAATCCCTACAGACGCCATCGCAATAGACGGGACTTTCGTAATGGTACGTCCGTTCGTTGAGGGTCTCTAAAGCGTACATGTTTAGCGGTCCTACCAAAGGTTTTTACTTGGCGCCGATGGTGTGGACGGTGCGGTAGCCTAGTTAAGATGAGTGTTGATGTGAACAAAAATTCATCTTGGAGCCGCTAGACAGGGGTCGAGGGCTCTGTGTTTTTAGCGACCGGTGCGAGTCCGTCTCCCCTTTTGTTTCACAGATCCGTCTGCTTAGGTTTTTGTTTTGTTATGCCTGAGCTTTCACTGTTGATAGATTTCGACCATGTTCTGTCTGTTAAGTGCATGCTATGGACATCTGCAACAGCGCGATCACCTTCGGTATTCTTGAAATTTTGTTACCCGATTTTTGTTTCGAAAAGCATTCACATGATGACAAATGGCGTCGTTCTAAGCCAATGTCAGCAATGAAAACTTAAATTGTAAACCCCAATTCTGAATTTCTTGAATTTGTTTGCTTGCTGACCAGGTTGTCTTTGACTTTGTACTTGTTTAGGTATTGCAGCTTATCAGAAGCACCAGTGTTGTTGTTGAATTTTTCTCTGCACTGCGGGAGTTAATCCGTATTGTTGTCTTGGTTGTGATGGCTGATTCGCGTCTCGAACCGTGTTATTTTCTTTGTATTATTTGTGCCGGAAAGGGGCTTACCTTACACTTAACACGCTTTGGAGAATCCCATTCCGCAACGTTTCCTTAGTCGCTACAAATTGAAACTCGAATTTGTATTGACTTTGGCTTACTTGTGTTCGTTTAAGAGTGTCCGTGACATTTTGAAGTTACCATACCGCTTCGTTTTTTTTTCACGGTCTTCAACAAAACTGAAGTTCATTTTTACAATATCTGCTTCACCTTCCCAACTGCAACAATCTCCTCCACCTTACCCCAGCTTGGCTTACGCGAAGTAATTGTTCTTGGTCTTTGCTTTTATCTTGGTCGTTTTAGTTGTTTTTTTTTTTTTTCCTCCAAAATAGAGTTACACTACTGTTTGAAATTTGGGGAAAATGTGGTGTGTGGACATGAGTATTATGGGTGTTGATCGAGGGCTTAGAGTATTCGTAGATATTTCTAAGAGAATGGAATTAAGGATAAAGGATAAAGCATTTGCCGTTGATCAATCCCTTTTTGGGATGCGGCACGCATTCTACTTCCATTTGTACATTCGCAGTGGCATTTGAATGCGATGTGGCCTATACAATGACTTGCGGGGGCCAGCCGATGTTCAAGTCAGTGTTTTTATCCTCCCAGACAAGTCTGGTACCAATTAACCGACCCGGATTGGAGAGGCTTGCGTTGGCGGGCTCACGACCCAGGTTTGAATGGAAATGGGTGTGCTAGCTAACAAACGGATAGTTTTATTTAGTTGCTCATCTGCTACAAATAGTCTTTCAGTTTTTTTTTGGCTACTGGGTCTAACGATTATTAATTACATGATCTTTGTTATAGGCAGTGTGAAGTCCGAAAAGAAGCTAGATCTTTCAACCATGAATTTCGTGGATGTTTGATATTAATGTAATGAGGCTATGTTGCTCTAAGACTTTTTTATGCTGTTGTGATTGTTTTCAATAGTACTGTGGTATTCTGCAAGTACGTCCTAGTGACTTAGCACGTTGTTGTGACAAAGCATGGAAATCAGCCATATCCACGGGATAAAAGAACTTCTTTCGGCCGCATGCCCAATCAAAATCGTTCCTAAACTGGTGTTCTGTTTTGATTTTTTATTTCCGGATTTAATCGTCGTAGGTCATGCAACCAGCTGTGATCGTTGCGCGTCTACGAAGCGCTAAGCTGTGTGTTTCGCGGCCATCGATCGATCGCTGGCTGCTGGGGTCTGACCAGTTCAAGGCGTGAGGCCACCGCGAACTCCTTCACGCTCGCTCGCATGCTCTTCACCCACCCAAAACATCCAACTACCCTCCACTTTTGGTCCAACATCACTTCATCATGCTACGCTCGGTCCGTGTGTCCCAAACTGATGCAATCTTCCAATTCCTCGTATTTTTCTTTGATGATTTCATTAACTTTTTTTTTCAAATTTATTTCCAAAGTAGGTGTATTCTACGCACAGATCTCAGCATGCAAGAACAAGCATGCTGAAAGTAGTTCTAGTCAAGGTTATCAACTCTTATTCGGATCGTTTAATGAGTGATATCCAAATCGTACATATTGTAATATTATGTGAATGTGTCAGTATCTTGTCGCAGTGCTATATAAATAGACGTTGGCCTTATGGACTACCTGTCAACCAGGGTCAACCCTATCGTTGTTACTCTTTGGAACATTTTTACGACCCCCCCCTTCATGGGTGATTTGATACGACCCCCCCCCTTGTATGTGACACTTGTGTAGAGACAGTGTTTACCATCAATATTTATTTCTATGTAAGTCATCAAAGATGGAACTTTAGCAAAATACCGACGCGAGTATAATCGTGCTGCCAAACACAAAAAAATGAGATGCGTTCAAAGATATCCGTGTATTCCAAAGGGTTACCAAACTAGGAGATGAAATAAACTGAACCAGTGACCAGAATATTGACAGCATTACCCGGTAAAAACTC